ACGATTCCCTTTTCATGAAATTCCATAAAAAAGAACTGAATCTGGTTTAGCATGAGTAGATACATGAAAACTTTTCTTTCTCGGTTTTAGGACAAGTCCAGCAAGAAGTTCCACAAGTTCAGAACCTTTTACTTCCTGAAGTTGACAAGAACCTAGAAAAATAGCTGAGAAGCAATAGTTTAATTGTCTTTTTTCTATTTTGTGCTTTGTGAATGATGCTTTACGTGATGGAACCTTGTAAACTTCTGAAAACCCATACAATAGTGGATTCCTTCCACTGAGTATTATCTATATATTGAAAGTTCTGAGAAACGTCACCTCTCGTAGTACTACAAAAATAGAAAAATGTGAGATGCCGCTGACAAATCAGGCAGTTTCATGATAATATCTTAAAATAAATATGGCTCCTCGTTCATTTTTAGAATTTTTTTAAAAAATACAAGAACACGATTTGTTACTTTTTTCTCCAGTTTTTGCCACAATTTCTCAATGAAATAATTGCCTTAACATGGAAGAATAAATACGTCATATGTCTTAAATCGGGAAAGGCAACAAGTCTTTGCAAACCTAATCTAGTGTTGGTTAGATTAAGCATGCTCTCAAATCCTTGTCTTGTAAGTGAGAGAGGTGTTGAATGTCCTCAGATTTAACTTACCAGAAGGACAATCAAGGAAGCTTGGACTCATTAAATCAACTCTAATTAAGTGATTTTATAGCATGTGACATAGCATTCAATGATCTCTGGATCAGTCCCAGATTTATTTTGTTCTAATACAGTAACAATCTAAAAAAAGTAACAAAGCTTTAATTTTTGCAGTGACTTACCTTGTCTGCTATCCACTTCTTAGGCTGTACTTCTCGGAAATGTTTAATTCCGTAAGTTTCTTGGCCATATTTACTTGATCTATGAACTGATGGGTCATACTTCTCATTTTTATGATATGAAGAAAATGGTAAAAATCTGAAATTTAAGAATATTTAAAAGTCAGTGTTACTCTACACTGGATGCCACATGATTGATGAAATCATAGATACCCATGCTACAGGATGATGTGGACATATTTTCCTGTCATTTTCCACTAACTTCTGAATATTCCTCCTCAGTGTAGGAGAACTGGTGCAATTTCTCTTCTAGCTGTTTTGAATGAAATTTTGAGCAAAGAGCCATAGAGTTTCAACAGGATAAAAGAAAGACTTTTTGTGTAAAGATACAACACTGCATTATCAGGTGATTTCTTTAGCTGCATTTGCCCTACCAGCTGGCGGGGTGTAGAGATGGAATGAGCAGGATTCAACTTGCTGAGATCTGCTGTGCCTGCAGAACTGCATGTAGACACCTCAAGTCTTAACTGGCAATTAAATCCATGCCACCTGTCAGTGGCAGGCATGCACCACACATGAGTGGAGAGAGCTAACTTCTGGAGAACCTCACATCCATGTTATAAGTGGTCTACCTCAAATGGCATCCTAACACATAACCTTATCCTGATGATTCTGTCAGGAGGGAAACATTTCAAGTGCACCAGTGGTGAACTCTGACACATAATTCCATGTATAAAACAAGGTAACTTTGCATCAGAAAGAACTTGTTCTGTACACTAAAATAAAAGATGCATCTCTTGATGTCCATTAACCAAAGCTCAGTCTAGTTTAGAAATTACACCTTATACAGTAAGGTACCATTTTTTCACTCTTAAGCAGAATAGAAACTTATTACACAAATAGGACTGTTGACTTCCATGTATTGGTGGACCACAAAGCAAAGCAATGGTTTCTTTTGAAATCACAAATTGTATACTTTACTCACAAGTTATCCTCATGTCCTAATCTCAAACTCTCACAGCCCAGTTCCCTTCATTAGTCATACTGAGGGTAGACTCTCTGCTAATAAACTGCCACTGAATAGTAAAGCTCTAACTACTCAGTTTGGGCATAGGGGGCACTCAGTTTTCAGACAGATGTCCCTCACTCTCACAGATAACTACAGGTTTTCTGGGTAGGTTCCACATCAAACTGTTTAGAGGAAGGAAATAGACACATCTAACATATAAAGGGTCTGCAAAGGACCCTACAAAGATTTTTGCAAACTCAAAATGGGATTGAGAAGAGTTATTATGAGAGCAAATAGGTACATTTTAATATAAATTAAACTCTTGTGAATGAAGTGTATCATTGCTGGTATTCTGAAAAAGCAACAGGTGGTCTTTACTCTGCAAGTGTGGTATGAGCTAGAAGAATGATTATATAGTAAAATAAGAAGTATGTTTCAGAAGTTTAACACATCACTTTAACTGTCACAACAACAGGTGCTGTTAATGCTGTTAATAACCTTTTTCTAGTTGACAGTTTTTCAGAAGTTCAGAGTCCCTGGGAGTTAGTCGACAAGTTTCTTATAAAGATGAGCAATAAGAAAAAAAAATTTTCTTTCTGTCTCTCAGCTGATAAATAAATTCATAAAATGATTTATTTGCAGTTGCCAAACCATTAGCAACTGTTTGGTTTTTAGTTTTGTGGAGTTTTTTTTAATTATACACTTTTCTTTCCTCTTCCTAAAAAATGTATTTTAAAATCTTGCCACCTATATCAAGTACCATTAACAAATGTCATATAAAGTTAGCAAACAAAAAACACTGAGTTAGCAGACTTAAATTATACAAAGCCATAGTAGCATGTATGCGATCATGGGAAAGGACACTCTCACATAAGACAGATTATGGTACTTGTAATGCTAATTTTCACATGGGATGGACATCACACACACACAAAAATTAATGTGGCCCCAGTGTCCCAGAGAAAACATTGAAGGTGCTGTGAGCTGGCTGCTCCACTTGCAGTTTTTATCACTTCTGAATTGCATTTTAATAGTACATTTTTCTTCTATTCAGACATGAAAGAAAATTGGCTTTCTCAGGGGACTAGATAGCTGAGAAGACAAGGGTAGCAGTTTAGGGATTTGACGATATATGCATAGAATTTAGTTAAGCCATAACATTCATAATTCAGCATGAATACTGTTTCTGTAAAATTTATACACAAAACAGTAAAAAATTTTCATGAGAAAAGTGGAAGATAAAGTAAAGGAAAACAATAATGAGCCCCGTTTATTCTATAAAATTTACAATACAGGGTTTGATCTTACTATGGAGGAGTTCAGCTTTGTCTTTTTGGTATAACATTCAGAATAATCTATGTTCTAACTACCATAATTCCAAATATAAATAAATACATATTTTTTCCAACACCTTAAGATGCCACAAACAGTATGATATACATGCAGTTTTGCACAAATTTGATCTTCTGCATTCTACTGCATATCTCCTTTAATACTGTAAATCAGAATATGTCTTAGAGCTTTGAGTGCATATCTAGGCCTGAGAAAACAAACAAACAAAAAGTAAAGCAACTATTGCTTTCTGAGACAGAATACTGAACATCAGAAAACATTAAAAATGAAATAACACTACAAAAAATAATGGTGTAGACTAGTACAAAATAATCTGAAACTTTCTTTTTCTGCTTCTGTCCACAGTTCTGCTATCCAATCCACGTGAGCAGATCCTTACAGGGATAAGGATCTAACTACAGAAGAGGATCATATGTTCGCAAATTCAATGTCCGTTTAAATCAAGCAAGACTCTTCATTATTCAGTGTGCATAAGTTTTTAAAAAGAACACAAAAAAAATGTGTTAATATTAAGTAGGGTAACCAAATTAATGAGAGTCATACAAAAGTCATTATATCTCCACAACCAATAATAACAGTAAAAACTAATAGCACTGCAACATACTTTAATAATGGTATTGTGTTTTGTACTTTATATATACACCCGACACAGCTTTTCCCCCAAATTAATGACAATACGTGCTTTGAATGTGACAGAAGAGAGTGATGGAAGAAAACTAAATGCAGACAATGGTATGATGCTATTAAAAACTGCACAAGTATAGACTTGAACAGTTTTATACAAAACGCTCACTCCAGTTAGATTCTTATATCTAGCATTTAACTTTCCATTGTGATTTAAGTGTAAATTCAGAAATTCTTGAAGCTCCAAAAGCCGGCAGTGTCTGTGGTAATTTAGGCCAGATATGGTTTTGCCAGGTTCACACTATGCTGAAGCTAATTAGAGTAAAAAGATACAGAAATCTTGACTTAGTAGGCAATCCTGGACCTGACAGTTGTGAGTTGTATGTACTTAACTTTTGAAAAATATCTTTGATATCTGCTGTTAAAAAAAAATAAAATGAAGATTGCTTTCTCTCTCCCTTCCCATAGAATGAATATTCTATCCTGCACCTCCCTTGCTACTATTAATTTCATTTTTCCATTCCTTCTTTCCCCTATCTTTTGGCCCCCTCATTCTCTTTCTTCCTACAACTTATCATCCGTCATTTTTTCCCTCTGTTCTGTCTCTTCTATTCTATTCTATCTCACTATTTTGGCAGAAGATGGAAGAGGCCTCTTAGGCTCTGAAGGTTTTCCAGGTGGCCTGACAGAGATGATAGAAGGAGCAGTAGATACTAAGGCTATCGTGCCTATGGCAACGTGAGAGGAGCGATACAACTTCCTCACCTTAAATAAGTCCATGAACGATTTGCTGCAAACAAACTATGCTTTACTACCTGGCATCTGTGAATCTTCTTTTATTCTTTTTTCCTCTAAATAAAACATGTAATGAATTTTAACCTTTAAAATTAGGCTAATATATGAAGTCATCGCTCTATCTAATCCAACAATTTCTTTATCTTTCCACTGACGGAAAAAAGGAAGAATTACAATGGCTTTCCATAGTAAAACAACTGCAGCAGGCCAGCCACAATTTAGTTCATAATGAATTCACATTAAAATCAGAGTGTTATTTACAATATAAAGACAGCATAACATACTTAACGTATCTAGTCCGATTGCCTCTAGTGCAATATTTTTTCCACAGGAAACTTTTTAGATCCATTATCACAAACATTGTCCAAAATAGCATGCTAAATAAATATTGGTATTTTTTCAGTGACCAATAAATGATTTAGTATCCCATGGTCAGTAAATCTAAGAATTCTCTGGCCTTTTTTGTTTAACTCATGTCTGCAGTAAAGTAGCAAAGAAAAACATAGTCTAGTTCTGGTAGGCAGTAAAGGAGATCTCTTCTGCAGCAAATTCTGAAACTTCTTAATTATACACAGACTTATTATCTGCATCCCCAGTGTTATAAAGTACCAGAACTTCATTAGAAAAATTAAGATGGAAAAATGAAGGCGCTACTTTGTAAATTTCCACTGGAAATTAGCTGGAAGAAGCAGAGGAATACTGGATCAAAAGAGGGTAATCATGCTTAACTGTGCCCTAGAGCACCCGCATGTATAATACGATTTGCACAGTAACTACCTCTCCTATTACCGCTTGTTTGGAGTATTCTGTGTTAATGGGGTTAGCTAATTTAGTATTTTAACTTAAAAAGACTCTGCTGATTAATAAATGTTGCACACTGTGCTAGTAATTAAAATAAATGGAAGAGTTACAAATAGAAGTTGAATTGTTAAGAAAACATTATCTGAAAATATATGATAATCCCTGTTTATCATAATACAATAACAGTCCGGAAAATATGCAAATTGCTGAAGTTGCAAAGCATATGAAAAAGTAAGTATAATTTGAAAAAAGTTTTCAGATGTGTTATATTTGTATGACATAAAATGTAGTAGCCATTTTCACTGCAGCTAAGTCAGAAGTATAGTAAGAGATGTTATAAATGTGGAAATGAAAAGATTTAAAATGCTAAATGTTATCAATCAGTGCAAAGTGACTTACTTTTTAAATTTTATTCCCCTTAATACTGGGAAGCTCATAACACTGATTCTCTCCAAGTAGACAGCTTATTTGGATCATTAATTTTCTGCACATATACCTTTAGTGGACTGCATTGTTTAGCACAGAAATACCTAAAGTGGTTTTAAGGGAAAATATTATCTTGCTGAGAATAAGCCCGCAAGGATGTTCGTGCTGCAACACTCACACACCTTGTGAGAGGCAGGGTGTGCAAAGCACTGTTTGTACTGCACAGAAGTGAACCAGCTTGTTCAGGAGTAGCTTGGCTGTTCCAGCACTGAACGCAGACACAGCCAGAAGCCGAGATGACTTGCCTGATGGCACATCAGAAGTCTACAATAAAACAGAAAACTAGATCTCTGTAGCTTCACACTACTACCAGTTTATCCCTATTCTATCACCACACTGCACCTCATTCTGACATATTCTGTCTTTATAAAGATGTTTAATGGGATACTTCAAAGCATCACACATGTTACCTGACACAGATTTCAGCACAGTTAATAAAAAATAACCTACATTTCTGTTCTTTGGAAAAGTAGGCCAGAATGCTCCTGCATGCCACTGAGTAAAGAACTTTTCATACTTAGTCATCCAAATCTATTGCACCCAACAGTGGGTATCTCAAACTAGACACTAGTTTAAGTGGTCATTCAATTTCTTATTCCAGTCCATCTGGAGGGGGAATCACTTCCTTTGTGTGAAAATGGTACAGTAAGGCAGGAACAGATTCAATTACATGAGAAAAAGAAATCATTCTCATTAGGCTAGACTATCCAGTAGATCCTTCATTATGAAACAGGGAATTCCAGCATAAGGTGTAGAGGCAAGCACAATATTCTCTTGTGTTCCATTTGTACTGCCTCTGCCTGTCTCAACCTTTATCATAGCTTTCTCAATTAGTTCTTCATTTACCAGAGGCAAGAGCTTTATTAGAGCTTGAGACACTTACAGCAAACCACGGAAAATAACCCTTATAATTAGAGGTGAGGGGAAATTCTGAACATTGTCTTCAGAGTACAAAATTGAAGGTATGCAATATCGATAATTTTCATATCTTAAAAGACATTATACCACATAACAAATCATGCTGGAAAAATACAGATTTCAAGAATTCAGTTGATGTCATCTTATGCAAAAACAAGCTTTCACAACAAAAACCATATACTTTCTCTGTTCTTTCTCTCCATATTTGCTAAAATAGAAGACTAATCAGCATAGGAATCACTACCGGGAAGAAACACATTCCCAAAGTACACAAATACATAGAAAGAGACAGAAATTTGTCAGTTCACAATAGACACAGCTGAGAAAAAAAAAAATACTGTAGGATTTGAGTAACCCTTTGTTGACTCCTCCCTTGAGGCCAGCATTCAACACAGCAGCTGCAGCATTACTAGTGTGTTAGTCCTGATGATGACCTGCAACTCTTGTCATCACCTTCTCAAGGTTACAGATGTGACCCTCATATGGCTGGTTGAATCTGAAGCACATACACAACGATCACAGCCTGAACACACTGTGCATTTAGTGTGAATGACTCTGAGAATCACTGGTGTTAGGACACTGCTTCTGTGCACCGAGGATGGCACTAAATGTTTCCTTATCGATAATGTTAATAAAGACTTCTGACCGATTAATACCTGTCAGAGTTGGAGACTACGAATTTAAGCTGTACAAGACTAAGGCCTCCATAAGGAAACCAGTGAAAATGATTGGTTAAATCTTTATAAAGGATTTTACTTTTTGAACTGTTGACTGTTGGCAAAGTGATCTCTAGGGCAGATCTCATCAAATGCTGTGCAATATAGCTGTGCCTATAAACGAAGGGCATGATCTATCCTCACTTGGGAGATATAACCAAAACTGATTCAGGGTAAAGAATACTTTAATTGTGAGGTACAACCTTAATTATTTCCCAGTGTTTTGTAGTTTTCAGTTGTAGAAGCTAGAAATAAAAATATATTTAAAAAATTTGGCTCAAATTTCAGCTTAGATCTGAAAATTCAGTTGCTTTTTCCTCTCCAATAATAAACTAGAATACAGAGAATAGAACTTTGAAGTATATTTTTACTTAGAATTTATCCCAGTTTTGTTTTTGTATAAAAGGAGCAAAGAGTACTACATCACATTTTTGGCAGCAAATATCAAAAATAACATCTAAACTCACAAAATATTAGAACTAAAAGAATTTTTCTTTCAAAATTGTTTTTGGGTAGCATCTCATTTTGAAGTCACTGTTAATACTAAAGAGGGAAAAAGTGAGAAAAAAGACCCAACAATCAAAATAAACACTACAATATGCAAATATAGCTGCTTCTAGAACTTTTTAAGTGCCAGTCCTTAAGCTGACATAGGCAACATAGAGCTAATCAAAAAAAGCTTGAAATATAGCAATGATAGCAAAGCATAGTGCCCCAATGCCCCAGTGAAACAACAGGTCACAGGCTGCTCTTAAGGAAAAGTGATTCTTTTCTGCCCTAAATTCTGGTATTAAAATGTCACAAGATTGGCAAGAATAGCAAATTCAAGGAAAATGTTGACAAAAGTTATGATGGGACCAAAAGAGTGCCTTCCATGGTAAGAAAAGAACTGGAAATATTTTGGCAATAGCACTAAATCTATTGGGACAGATTACATCTGTATTGGGGGTTGTATGTAAAAAAAACCTGCCCCTCTGAAGCTGTTACAGACACTGTGGCTCAGGAAATCAAACTGCTTCAAAGATGACTACAATTTTTGCACCATATTCTAACGTGTACGGTATATGCTCCTTTCTCTTTGAAGTGAACTTTGGTAGTCTACTGGGAGAGACTGCAAGTCTCATTGGTATGCAATACCATTTTTTTCTCCCATAGGCTTTAAGCTCCCTGAATAGGAGGACTGAAACAGTACCTTGGCAAGGTGCATGTGGGGAAAAGGTTCTTTTTTGCATTTGTTTGCTCATTTCCCATTAAACTCATCTGTTGCATCACCTGTTATTATTAACAGTTTTTCTATAGTTCCATAGAAATGGATGGCACATGTCATACAATTACAAGACAGGGTCTCTGCCCTGAACAGTTTATAATCTAAGGACATGGAATTTAGAAGTATGTACACAGAATGTTTGCTAGTAAGCTGTCAGGTTTGACATTTCATTTTGTCAGGCATGAAAGGTTTCTGAAAGCAACAGAATAAAAAAAAAAAAACATTCTCATAACAATGTAAGAAAAAAGAAAGAACTTACTCATTGTCATGTATACGGTTTCTCCATTCCTCTCTTTTGATTTCCTCTCTGGCCTTCTCTAGTGAATTGATTGATGCTGCCACTCGCAAGGTTGGTTCCAAAGGCTTGTAGCGCTGCCGCAATACTTCAGCAGTATCACGGAACGGCCCCTGAAAGGCATAGGATAATGTACATATTTTATTGTGGGGTTATAGTTCTTTCCTTTCCTTCTTTTATTCGTGACATATCACTCATGAAAGAGGACACAGTGTCTGGGAAGCGTGGCAAGACTTTCCTTCCAAAATAATTAAAGCCATTCATTCTGATAGAGAGTTACAAATAACGCAAAGGCTGGTAACACATTCTAAAGTCCCACTCACGGAATGAGAAACGTGCACTGTACATTTATTTAACTATGTAGATTTAACTACTAATAAATATTTATTATTTTAAAACAATACATTGTTAGAACTGATCAGGATAGCTTTTTCTGTGGAAAAAATGTTGATGAAATAAAGTCTGATACACAAGTATCAACTGCATCTAGACACTGAAAGAGCTTAAGTTACTTACTTTTCACATGATAAATCATGTTTTAACTTAAAGAACATGCTCTTTTCAATTTTAACTATAAACGTACCTGGAAGAGAATTCAATACATGACTTAAGATTCAATCCTTCCACTACCACTTAACCCAGTGACTACAATACTGTAGAGTCCATTTTTTAAGAAGTCTAATTCCACATTAATTTCATTATTCTTAAAAAAGAAAAAAAAAGAACTGAAACCTCATACTTCTTTGACAATTATATATACATATTTTTTCAGATTATATTGTTCAATAACTGATTGCACCTGTCTCTACTATTTAATGACACAGATAAATAGCAGTAGAAAGTCCTTTTCTGCACTGTCAAAGTGATATATCTTATGTCTTGCTTTTAATACTAACTAGCATGAACTCACTGGGAGTGTAATTAGTACCATAGTAATCTTTGGACAATTTAGTAGCAACTCTTGATTTAGTAGTGTTGCTAATAACTTGTATTTTATTTTTACTGTTGTTGATCCTGCAACGAATTACTGAAACCTTCCAAAAACATGAGCAGACAAAGAATCCTAATCATGGCCTTTAGTCTTAAAAGATATCCTTCTTTAAATAGGTTATCACTAACAAGTCACAGCTGGAGTTACTGCAAGCACTGAGTGAAGACTGTGGGCTAATAAAAAGAAATGATTCACGCCTCATTTATGTTCACTTATGTTTTACATTAATAGAAACCAATAATAGGAACCAGTTACCATAAAAGTCATGGACCGTAAATAACACAAATGGCAAATAAGTATCATCTAGTACTTTTCACAGCTGGACAGGAGGATTGCTATATTTGAAAGTAGTTAATGGATTTTTATTGGAACTTTACTTTTTAAAGGCGCAGCACCATGATTTGAAGATCTGTTTAAAGATTCTAGTAAGTAAGCCAGCCTAGTCCTTACACTTCTTGCAGGTGTTTTCTTCCATTTGCTTTCTAAAAATCTGCACAAAAAATACACTTGTTTTACATGGTCACAATGCATCTTTAAAAACAGAATGAAAAGTGTTATAGCCTAAAAGAGAACAATCAGTACAAGAATAGGTTATTAAAATTGGTAAACAGTGTTCTGGCAATATATAATCTAATGATCAAGTTATGGAAGAAATTGAAATTTGATTATAAAGAGATGAATCCTCTGTATTACAAGATATTTGCATGAGGTGGATATGCAGAGGAAAGGAGGAAGAAGTGTTCTGTTATCAAATAATATCTAGATAAATGTATGCTTGCCTTTAGAAAATCATCTTTTAGAATATTATATATCTTCTTCATTATAAAATATTTACTCACGTTCCTCCTGTGATAGGGCCAAATCAGATGTTCAAGTAAGGTTTTGTTTTTTTTTTTTTTCCTCCCATCTTTAATTCCTAAGACCTTCTACCTCTTTCTCAATTTATAATTCAAATGAAATTAACAGAGTGCAGCAATACTAAAGGAAGGGGGAAAAAGAGTACAACTATGCAAAGGTCTCTCAAATAACACTGTGTTATCACTGACGAAAGCAGGGTATATTGTAGAATATTAAAATATTCTAAATCTTCCCTGCAGATTTTCTCCTTTCTCTGAAACATGTATTTGAAGAATTCTTACCCAACAACAGGCACCTCAGAAATATATCTAAGCTGACAAGACCTCTAAAAAATCCATTTGCCTATTTCCATTTCACAAGATTAATAGTTGTGTAACCTGTGGCAGAATGGTGCTTTACAAACTTTTCAATGTGGCAATGCCTGCAAGCATTTCAGGCATTCTGCCTTAAGAAAGAAATCTCCCTAGGGAGCTCAGGCTGGGTAAAGGAGGGAGTCAACCCACAGTTCTCCCCCTGAAAGCAACTCTTGCAACTCTGCACGAGTCCTGTTTTAGAATTTATAGTGAATAGCATAATCTTCTGGCTACCAATCAGCTTGCCAAATAAACGGGTTGCCAGATTAACAGATACCTGATTACTACTGTATCATAAAAATCAGAAACTTGTAGTAAAAATTATGATCGACATGAAATCTCATGTTAATTCACTGTCTCCATTACAGTCAGCAGCATGCAAAAAATTCCCTAAAAATAGCAATGTGCTTCCTGTTATTAATGCTTTTGAATGAACAGATGACTAATTTTAGTATTATCTGTGCTTCCATCAGACCATAATTCTACTTAATTCAGTAATAATAATGATAGATTTAACTGATATATCAGAAACATTTGAACTTTTCCTTTAAATACACTATTTTACATACACAGAACTTACCTATAAAATGCTAAATACCAGCTTCCCAAATACCTAAGAGAAAAGTGGTAGACTGCTAACTTTTGTTCTCTTAAAGATATGTAATTTGCATTCTCATATAAAATAACCATCCTTATGGGCAATGGAAATTATAGATATCTGAACGAAAAGCAAAGTAACAAGTGACTTGCATGGGGCCCAATATATATTAGAAAAAGAAGCTTGGTGCCAAAAAGTGCTATCACAAAGAACTAGGACACAAGTATACCCAGTAATTAAATTCCTTACTGTCACACCAAACAACTTGCAGTCTGATGCATTCTGATGGGTTTTCATTTCCAGCTGTTTCATCAGCTCAAACCAGTGTCCTTTTCTTAGACTTACAACCCTAAATTGTCAAAGTGTTGTGCAGGGATTTAGCCGTGTGACTCCCATTAACATCAATAAGAGTCGCGCAGTTAAATCCACGCGCTGTGCTTTGAAAATTTACCCCACAGTGTATATCCCAGGGTGCTGAAAGGATTAAAGTATTATATAGTAAATTCCCTCTTTGAGGTGGGGAAAATAAACAGAACTCTTCTGGTTTGTTCTAAAGGTTTGTTCTATCTGTGTATGACTGCTCTGTGTGTGTCTAAACTTAGCAAGTTCTACAAAATATTCCAAATCAGAACAGAAGCTGGTAAGATACTTAGCATGCAGCAAAGTACTTTTGCAAGAACAACTTAACAATGGAAAAACACTCCTCTTTAATTAAAAGCATGATTCATGTACCATGCACACTAGACAAAAATATTCCTCTATCTTCAGAAACCTACATGGCATTCAGTCACATCCCACCGAAAGATGGTCATAGCACCTTTGGTCCCACTAGGTAAGGCTATAACGTCATATTCATTTGTTTTCGAATTTACATTCGACATCAAATTCCCTGATCATCTGTACTGTCTCTCTGTTGGCTCACATTTTGTCTTGGGTCTATGATATAATATAATATGAGTCAATGAGCTCATTAGATGAGGAAGCTCAAACAGTCAAGGCGGAGGAGGGTAGGAATGAAGGACAAAGATAGAGAACTGTCTTGAAATTGATCCTCTCTGATTTAAGTAGTATGGATCCAGCATGGCTCACCTCTACTTTTCTAGACATATGTTGGCAGACCTGCATCTGCTCCTCAGGCTCTAACCCAGTTGCCCTTGCCTTAGCTTCCCATCATGAATACATGCTTGGCCTGCTACACATAAGCAAGGCATGACGTAAAGGTGAGAAGAGCCTGTGCCACGTGGGTTAGCCAGTGAGCCCAAGTCTGTCTGCTGAAGAGCAGTGTGGATGCAGTCAATAAGCCACAGGCAAATTATGGCAGATGCCTTGACTGAACCTGGTTTGAACCCAGCAGTAGTTCAAACTTAAGATTATATCACCTCTACCAAGGATTATCATAAAATAGTGGGAATAGCCATATCAGTTCAGAGGAGTAAAATACCTATAAACATCTATTATACGTTGTTTATTGCTCATTATTGTTGTTTAACTTCTGAAGCTAAAAGATAGCTTCAGTGGAAGTTACTTAGGAGGAGTCATTTATAAGTGTTTTCTTTTTAGCCAAAATACTGAAGAGAAAATTTAAAGACAGGATGGAATCCCCCCACACCTAAAAAAAAGGAAGGTATGAAAGGTTCTGAAGACATTGCGTCATTCAAAGTGAAATAGGCTCTAATAGCACAGGAAAGTGTGAAGTAAGTAGAAGTTCAGTAGATTTGGTAATCTGAAAAATTCTGCAGAATACAGGGAAAGATAGAGTACTTTTAACCCCATAGTAACTGTTTCAGGCATTTACTGGCAAAAACTATATTCCTGAAAAAATATCCACTCTTACTGTCATCAAGTCAGCAACATAAAGGTGTCAAGGGTCTATGTATCTGCTGTGTTTACCGGGCATATGCCCGGTGAGTTTAGATAATTTGTTGTCATCTTGTGGGACATTTACTCTGATGCATTATCTCAGAGATATCTGTTACTTTACAGAAGAGAAAAAAAGCTGTCTGCAACATATGTTAACATCAACCAAAATTAAAATTGTGACCATGACAGCTAAGAACGGGAGCTGGACAACTTGGCAAATCACGCAGAACATGTAGAAACTTTTGTAATTAAAGCTGACACACAGTTGAGGTGGTGAAAGAACAGAAACTATTCTATTTTGAGATGTCTCTTGGCCTTCATGTGGAAAACAATATCAAAAAGAGGAAAAAGTTATTATAGCTGGTTAACAATAAAGATATTCCCTTTGCAATCTCTGAAATGCTGTTCTTTTACCAAAGGACAAAAGTAAAGTCTAAAAAGGTCACATTTCTTTGCTTTTACATACCTAGGCTTTCTTTTCATTGAAAGAAATCTGTTTCAAAGACTTTATGTCCCAAGTGCAAGCACTAATACTATACATAAAGGCTGCCTAAGAAACACTGAAAAATGTTACCTGAGGTTTCTGTCTGCCAATAGGAGGCAGAGGCTGTGCTGTGGGGCAAGTCAGAGACCTTGAACGATTTGACCAGTCACAGAGCTCGCCTATGAGGTGATTCTTTATTGGCTGCTGTTTGTGACTCAATGGCTTTGACTTCCGTAACAGTAATTCCATTGGATCTGGGGATTTTCTGAATGGTGAATTGTATACACCTGCAATCTGAATAGAAGATAGAGTTATCTTTGACTTCAACTAATTTAAATTTTTTTACTCAACTTCTTCTACAAATCAATACACTATGAAAAGCTATACAATAAACATTTCCACAAAAAGTTTCTGATGACTACTGACATGGGATAGATTTACATATTAAATGCATCTCTGAGCAATTCCATTATAGTTACAAAAGGGTTTAAATATGATAATCTCAAGTATAATACAGGTTTCATCCTTTGGAACTGGAATAACTTTCGTTTTACGGAAGCAAGAATTACAAAGTTGAGTTTCGTGTATCTCAAATCCATCTTTTCTTTCAGTCATATTCAATCTTTCACCTTCCACAGTAGTAGTCAAATAAACACACCAGTTTTTCCTTAAAAATAATTGAATGTGTACAAATTTGGCTATGGTTTTAAAGTAAAAGTACTATGTTTGTTTTTGAATTTGAAGTGTTATATGCACAATAGGAATAAAAACATTACCTGTTATTTCTAAAAACATACTTAAAGAGCAAAAAAAAGGTTTATACAAGGAAACAGATAACTCATATACCTTTAAACGCTATGCTACCTTATTCACAATGTGGCCGCAAGACAATGGCAATTACAGTATTTTTAGAAGTAAAACTGATTGACTAGGTAAGGAAAATGCAAGAAGATTTACTGAATACCAAAAAACAGAAATTGTTTTTTTCCTGCAAAAATTTCATATTAAATTCCTTTAACTATTCAAATGTGTTTAGTTTTATTAGTATAAAACTCACAAAAAACAAAAATTTAGATTCTGAATTTTCAATTGAGAACTGAACCCAAAAATTCACATTTTTCATAGTAATTTTTTTATTTTATATCTTCGAGATATAGAAGCAGTATGCTATTCAGTAGTTGCTTCACTATTGTAATATTTTTGCAATGTAATATTTACTAATGTAAAGCACAGATTTCAAATTCTGAAACTAGTAATCTGTCATTAACAATCTGTGAATATCTGGGAAATCAGAATTTTATGACAGAGAATTCCCAAATCATTCTGGATAATAACATATGGAGGAATTTTATCATTTATGTAAAAAAGATTTCACAGATAGACATATGTGAGTTTACTGAATAAATTATGAGTAGTTAGATATTTGTTCTGGTTTAATAATTATCGATTTATGTGCTAAACATCAGAATTGCTGTATCGTATTGTACCAAGTTACTGCATCTCCAATAAATCAGATGACATCTGCTTAAAATGCACCTGGCAAAAATTAATTTAACAATTTTGAATTGCTTTAAGGGCAAGTAATATTTTCCACTACGATTTACTTGGAATATTCTTAACACTTTTAGACAATATTTGCTCAGTGAAAATACATTGCATTTTGCTTTTATCATATTTGTAATTGCTAAGAACTACTGAATAAATATAGTAGAAAAAGACATTAGTTTCAAGGTGTGGGAAAAGTAAGAAAAAGAGTAAATGTTTATAATCTTGCATTTCTCCTCTGGCACACTGCTGAGGACCCCTGAGAAAACTAAGTAGAACATCAGCTTCCTCATAAAGTATTAACCTCTTGAGGCTGAGAGGATTGAATGCTCCCCAATTAGCTCTAATGCATTTTTCATTAGCGTATCCTATGGGGAAATTCCAACTCCTGGTGTCAAAAAAGTTAAATAAGGCCCTTATAAAAGTTATTGTTTAATTGACAAAGATAGTCAGAGATGGTAGCTTATTCAAAATATTGATGGCAAATTTTATGGGCTAAATTCTCCAACTCTGTAAGTGACCTCGCCATAATGACTATTTATTTAGACCTTGCGTTGTGTGTTCCCCTCCTATAGGAAACCCTATAAACTATTCCACTCTGCTATTGGTGTAAATGTGTGATGGGAAAGAGGATATGAATAGAGATATGTAGTAGAAACATATTTATGCCAAACAAACACTGACTGCTCCTTCAGCTCTATAGGATGCCAAACTAAAATGGCAGGGATCCAGGCTTTGAATAGCAGGCAAGCAGGGTCAGTGGAGTGTATGCAAAACTGCAAGCCCATCTGTGTGATGTGTAGAATTCATCTGCATCTTAAAATCTGGTTGTACAAGTCTGGCTCTTATTCCCATAAACAACTCATAAAGTTACATATTCTTCTTATGTCGTTACTGATTATTTTTGTAGTATTTCATACATTGCCCTGTTACAATTTTCTTAATAGCCTAGTATATTTTTGCTTGCAAGCATTCAGCCATCTACAAGTGCTACATCAACTCAAGTTCTACACGTTGTCACTTGCTTTTATTGTACTGTCTCACAGCTAGGGAATGCATTCCCACTAAACGTTTGCTGTGTAGATAATAAGAAGCTGCAAATACGAAATGCTCCAGACAAGCTCTTCCATGTAAGTTGGGTTCCATGCTGGAGATGCCTAAAGCAACTCTGTGCCATAGCCATTATGGCTCTTTACCAGCTCATCTTACCAGGGCAACCAGATCTGCCTACATACCAATCATTCAAATTTTGCCTTCACTCAGTTGCTGATGGTAAACTAAAAAAGTGATTGCCTGTGATTGTCTTCTTTTCACTAAACCGCTTATTGTATCGTTACTTTATCTTTCCACCCATTCCTACGCCCTGGGTCACCTGTGTTCAGTTGTTATATCCTGTCTAATGCGGAGACTGTGCATCCCAGTCACTTCACGTCTGTAGAGGTCCCCAGCTCAATGAGATACTGGTCTCTGACTGCATGCCTGTGAAAGCCACCATATTTTATTGAAAACTACAATATCACTGAAAATAAAGTTTTACAGAAGAGAAACATCTCCACATTCACCACTAAGAATCAGGATGGTCTGGAAGAAACCACTATGGCATAGTAAAGGCTCTCTGAAGTTGGCAGGCATATATGTGTTCATCAGTAGCAAATTTAGATTAGGGTTTCATCTGCCCAAAACTTTCACCATTTTTTAAGCCTTTATTAAAAAATGCTGAGGACCAAACTGGTTAGGAATTTTAACCTAAAGAAAATGTAGATTATTGCAATCTATGTGATTTTAATTTGCTCTTCTTTTGCCACAAAAGGAAAAAATTCAACAACTTAAACATTTTAAACATTTTTCGTCTCAGGAATTACAATGAGAAAAACTTTAAAGTGATCTGTTATCTGCGCTACAAAACATGGTGTTGCTTCTGCTATTTCATATTTAGCGCAATAGAAATGCCCCCGGGAGTATAATGACTTTCTGAAACTTCATTTTGTAATTTATATTGAGGTACAATGTATGTTCTACTTGAACATTTCTTTGACTAACTGTTTGGCAGTAGAGAGAACTATAGTTCAATATAGAGTTCAAACACTGTGAAATGCAGCTGAGTATCTCTCCATGTATGCAAATAGGATTAGTTGTTATCACTTTTAATGACAGCAAAATTAGCCATAATAGGTTTGGGAACCCAATGATTAGCAAATTTTAAATTATTATTTCTGAAAAGGTGCCTTAACATATTTTTTGCTGTTCTTTTTTACATACTATCAGGTTAAATACCTAAGATTATCTCCCCAACTATGAAAACAGATTTAGAGTCCTAGTGAGGCCAGTTGGACTGTTTGCAGGAAGTTGCTTCTTCTGTAGTTGAATCTCTTTGTTAGATCTGGGTCAAAATTAATTATGAAGTGCATTTTTAAGTAATCATTTTTCAAGCAATCCTTGTTAATTGCTTTACATTTTAATTATATATGTTTAAGTATTCAAACAGACAGATAGCAGAGCAATCAGCAGAGTTCGCGTCTAGATTGATAAAATTAATACTAATTTTCTCTAAATTCCCCAAGGTTTGTGGTAAGGTTTTAGGCCCAGATTTAAAAATGTGAAAGTTTAGTAGAAGAGAAGAGCAGATGAGTATGATTCTATTTTGCAGTTCAGATCCATCTCTGGCAAAATTGCTTCCATTCATTTTAAAATATCTCTGCAAAACAGTCTTATTTCTGCAGATTCTTGCATATGCACTGAATGCTGTGTGCTGACGGATGTCCTACTCACTGCATCTTCTGCAGGGAGACGGCAGCTCGCAGAAATCTAAGAATCTGGAGGATCAAAGCCTTTGCTAATTAATAAATGTGTATATTTTCTTGAGACCAATACCCTAAAAGCATTATTTCATGTTTCCCCTACTTCAATATAATAGTCGTTGAACTACAAAATCATTGTAGTTAATACTGCTTTTTCAGTGGTAGAAATGTGACTATCTTGACAAATTACCTCATATTTTGACTCCAATATTTTCCCCACCTTTAGACAAAGTCTATAGGAAAAATATGTTACCCTCCAAAATATTGCTATCGGTTACAGAAAGTACTTCTCGTCTGTAGGGAGAATGATACATTTTTCTATACCCATGTTTTTCCCTACTAAGAAGGCCTCTGTCAAAGCCATCTTTCTGGGACTTCATTTCCAGGAACAATTACCTAAAGTGACAAACACTATGGGGAAATCTGTGCTAACTGTTAAAAAACCTACAACTGACTTATTTGCAGTACTGTCATGCTAACTTCCAACTCAATAAGACCAAAGAAATCTCAGGAGGGAACTCTGCTAATAGCTTCTTATTGACCTCCTTATACCAGGCCCTTCTGCTGAATGGTGGCCCAGTGGTGAATATGGCAAATGAGCTGTGAAAGTACAGGTTTTTTTTTTTTTTAAGACTATGGTTCTGACTCGTCAGGGAAAATAAAAAAAGGAGAGAAATGAGTTGTACAATAGATATATTTTTCGCCTAGAATTCTCTGCCTCAGACCTTCCATCATGGAAACCCAAGCATGACCTGGAATATTAATTGTGTCAGGTCAAGCATACCAGCAAATGTACCATTTGTTACCTAGTCATCCTTAACATTACATTAATATTTTGAATCATTTTGCATTTCTAACACTCTATCTTTTAGTTTCCTCCCGGTCATTTTCTTATCTTTATAATTAATTGTGGCACATAAAGAAAGAAAAAATCATAAGAAAGTAAACATG